AGAGAGCACATTGGCCAAGCAATGGCCGTGACTCATCCACATGGCTGACACTGACAAAGGTTCTCCAATCAGAGGGACAGGATCTCAGGATAAATCCTGAGGGGATTTCACTGAACTTACCAGACCCAAAAGCTACCACTCTTATTGCATAAGTCCTGCTTTACCTTGGTCTTAACCATCCAGCAGAGAAGTATAAAAACGAAGTATAAGAAGTAAAGCCATGGTGTTATGTTTAGCTGTAGGGGACTCAGGTCAACAATTCCTGACATTGCCAGTGAAGCAGAAGTCCCAATACTATTATGGACCTCCGAACTCTTTTAGAATATTTTGCTGTTTACACACCTATAATATTTAAATGATGGAACTTAACCAAAAAAAAGGGATACAGATGAATGTCCATTTGGTATCTGTGTATTCAAAGTGGTTAGGATAGATATATAGTAACATTCTCTTAATGAATAGAGGGATTTGTTGTAATGGTGTTTGTAAATAGGATATCATGTCCGCATCTTGTACAGCAATTAACCACTAGGACGAATGTATGCATTGTGTTAATTATTGAAACTGTTCTACCAATTTGATTTGAAACTGTCTCATTGCTATTTGTTTCTCAATAAAATTATGGGAAAAAAAAGTAACTTGACTCATAAACATTTTTCGGATCCCAGCGATTTTATCCTAACATTCTAGACAGGAACTAGACAGGAATTGAGATATACTTATTAATTAAGCCTTCATAAGGCATAAGATATGTGTCCTTCAATTTATAATTGGAATATTCCATCCATCTTACATTTAAGAGTTAGGAAGAAACAAATGCTTAAAAACCTTAGAAAATATGCTTTGCTCTCCTATGTTTTAGAAGTTATTTCTTCAATCATAAAAATCTTTATATGATTATTTCTTATGTCCAAAGACTGAGTGTGCGTGTATCAGGCTCTGGCCCCTATGTTGTGGGTTGTGAATATAGAAACACACTTGCTCAGCAGCAGGAGAAGAAGCTTTTCTAGCTTTTCTGTTTTTGTAGACAAGGCTGAAAGGGAGAACTAGGAAAACAAGGATTTCAGTATTCTGCATTCCTGGGTGCTGTCAGCATAAGAGAGTTACAATAAAAAAGGGTTATAATTACTGGGTATAAACTTTTCTATTATGAAAATCAATATTTATATAATATGTTTTAGCCATTTATAAATAGCACAAAGTTATTTGCCACAAAGTTAAAGGTATGATTAAAATGAAAAAGTTTATGGGTTTATTTGTATTATATTAACAAAGATAATAGCAGATGACAGTCACATCGCAGGAGTCTTTGCTGACCATACTCTGCAGCAGAACACTTACAGATTCAGTGCTCTGATTGTGAGCATGAGTACCTATTTAGACACTATTAAGAATGGATAGCTGGGGCCAGTGAGATAGCTCAGCAGACTAAGCGCCTGCTTAGGCAAGTGCAGGAAGCAGGATTCGATCCCCAGCACCACATGCTGCATCAGCCCCCCCTCCGGCCGCAAACCTGTAATCCCAGAGCTAGGGAGGCTGAAAACAGGAGGATCACTACTAATCCAAGCTGCCTAGTGAAACCCTGTACAAAAAACCAAAAAATACATTTTAAAAAAATGGATAGCTATTTTACAAGTTGTCCAAGCTCTTGCTAGCCAATTTATCTCTTGTGCTATCTGCCATTGTCTGGTGGGGCTTAGCTGCCTGTAGCGATGATTTATGTGGTCCTTGAATTTACATCTGAACATCTGACTGCTGCAAAGACTGCTGAAGTGGGCAGCCTGGCGAGGTTGTTTCAGGGCCACTCAGCCAAGCTAGGGACAGTTTTGTTAACTTCAGCACTTCTGCCCCAATTCCCCACGTTTTTTAAAGGTAACAATTTGAGAACTAAGTGCTTGTAACTTAGTTTTCTTTTAACATGTTTGCATCCCCCCCTACTCTAAAACACAAAAGTAGCTTCTTTTCCTTATCTTTTTTTTCAGTCTCTGACGTTAAGGCTTCAAGACTATCCATCTTTGTCTCATCTTGTGGTTTATGTTCCATCCGTTCATGGAAGTAAGGTAACAAGTGGTTAAGGGTGTTTTCAGAATGTTTTATGGGCTGCTCTGGCTGAAGTTTAAAAAAGTTCACTTCCTTCTGAGGGCTTGCACATACGGCTTGCTGAAGACAGTACCCGGTGTTGGTGAGTCACCTGGGACTGCCCGCCGCTGAGAGGGTCGCTCCAGCTCGACTAAGCAGAGTGAACCCAAGGCTCCCGCTGCACCTGAGAGTGTGCTCTGCTCATCCTCCCTCAGTCCTTTCTTAATAGGGACACTAAATACACCTCGAAAGGCATTGGGAGGGCATGTGGGTAGGAGGTGGTGGTGTGAATAGGTGACAGTGGTTTTGAGGGAATTGGGGCCAGGGGAGAAGAGAGTTTGAAGCACCCGTAGTCCTCCCCGGCAGACTTACTCTTCGAGATCCTGCCCAGGTCCCTCTCCCCTTCCTGGCTTTCCATGAACCTGCCAATTCCCATTCCGCTGTTTCTGGCTTCTGCGAGGGCCGTACCCCCATGGAACTGCAAGCTCTGTCTCCATGGCCGTCGCTGTGCTGTGAGCTCTTTGGGTGTAACAACCAGAGCAGCTTTATTCTTGGTTGTGCCCTCAACCTTTAGTGACTGTCACATAAATGTTTTCTAAAAAATGGTTCTTAAATGAGAAAATTGATAAGATTTGTGGGCAGAATGATTAGGGAAATTTAAAAGAAACAAGCAGACGAGAAAGAGGCTGTAATTAGAAGTCATCTCAGAGACTGAGTCAAGTGAGAAGTAATTCTGCATCTTAAGTGCTAAAGCTCTCTTTAAAGGCTTTTCTGAATAAAATAAAAAATTTTAAAAAAGGCTTTTCTGTCAGGTAGGTTGGTTTTGAATGAAAGTAAGGTCTTCCACAAACTTGAAAGGCCTTCTGCGGTTCTGCCAAGAACTTAATGAGCCTTTCTTCAGATAGACCATCTTAGCAGCCTGGTCAGTGGGTGACATGTCCTGATGCTCTCTGGAAAACAATGCTGTTGTGTCTGTTACGCGCACACACACACACACACACACAGCCCTGCGGGATGGTAGCCTGTTTATCTCCTGCTGTCTGCCAGTCCTGTCTTGGCTGTCATCAGAGGCCTACACCTGTCAAACCGGCAGAGTGAGAAGTTTCATAGCTGAAACCTTCCTTACTGGTTTCTGAAATACAACTATGGAAGTATCTGCATTGTTTTCATAACAAAAACAAAATAATTAGGCCCATTAGAAATGCACTTGCCCTGGATGTTTTAGAGGCAGACCTTTGAGTTCTTTCTTGGGTAAGGAGTTAGTCTGTTATATAAAACTAAAGGCATAGCCAATTTTTTTATTATTATAATTTTCTCTTATTTTGAAGAGTAAAAACAAGAGCAAGAAAACAGCCAAATTTTTAAAGTAACAGTGAAAATTCTATTTTAGATACCTGTACAGAGAGATTGGACTTGCTTTTAAAAACTGTTCCTTGTCTCAGGTACTGGCTCATTCAAAAGTACTTTGGAAACATACAATATAATGAAAATTCCTGTGCAGTAAATGATTTCTCTGATTTTTCAGCAGCTGCCTTAGTAAAAATGTCTGTGTTCTCTGCTTGTAAGAGGAGAAATAAAAAGCAAAGCCCTTAGCGAGCCCCACTGCTGCCACCATGTGTACGGCTTTAGAGCCGTTTCCCTTGACCAGTTTTTACTTTGAAAAACAATGGGAAGTCCAAGTGACAAGCAGACTAATGCTGCTGCAGATGTCCTAGGCTTACTCACCAGAAAGTCTGGAGAGGCCTGTGCTCTTGTGCTTCCCGTGGACAGCACACTACTCGCCATCCCCGGCTGCGAGTCACTGCCCTCAGCACCTGTTGAGCAACCAGCTTGGCTGCGTTGTGGAGATCCCTCTATTGAGCCTTCGCTTTCACCAGAAGAAGTTCCTCTTGCAGATGACTAAGCAGTGCTTCTCGCACAGTTTTAGAAATGTCACCACCAAGAGGTGTCTCTACAAAAACTATAATGGGGGCGGGGCTGCAGCTCAGCCGCACAGCACCTGCCTGGCAAGCCCAAGGTCCTGAACTTGATTTCTAGTACAAATAACAGTAATAATAGTAATTATATGGGGTAGTGGCACATGGTAGATTTCCTCTTACAAAGCATTTCTTTTCCTTCATGTATAGTAAATGTCTTCCATTTACTGTACCTATTTAGCCCAAAATAAGCTTACACAGGTAATGCTGTGGGTGAACAGCCCAAAATAAGCTTACACAGGTAACGCTGTGGATGGACAGGCAGCAGTGTGACACCCTCTAGTCTCTCGGGACTGCAGCTGTTTGAGCATTTTCAGAAAGATGTAACAAACCCCTTCTGATTAGGAAAGTGTGCAGGCCTGTAGTAACTAAAGCTCTACATAACCCTAAATTATGAATCTTTGTCCATCCTTTAATGTCCTTCTACAAATACTTAAATTATCAGAAAACTTTGCTGTGAACCTGTTATTATAACTTATTTAAGTACAGCTTGTTTACTTAATTTTCTCAGCATAGCGTTTCTCCTTAAGGAGTTCGTGACAGTGAAATAGAATTGCAGCGTGACCAGTGATACATTTTCCAAAGCTAAATTACAGACTTATTTTCTACTCAAAAGTTGAGATATTTTGTTATGAATTTGATTCTTTTTTTCTAATAAATCAATGTTTTATATTTCAGTTTGTTGTAGATTGTGAATTCTTCAAAAAAGAGACTAGATCAGTACAGCTTCCCGTAACTCATCTTTTTTCCTTTGGTAAGCGCTTTGTTTGGGGTAATGTGTTTTCCAGTGCTGGGCTTGAACGCAGGCCCGTACGCTGAGCGGTGTCCCCGGCCCGTGCTCTTATTTTGAGGCAGGGCTTGCCGAGTGGCTCTCTTAAGGAGTGCTGCTTTCCTTTCTCTGTGAGCTGCAGTAAAGCAGACACCTGCCAAGCTGAACCTGCAGCGCCGTGAACATAGCTCTCAGGGCAGCCGTGGACATGGGCTGGTGGCTCGATTCTCAGGCAGTACCGGATGAAATGTGTGCTGAGTGCTGGCGCTTTTCACAAAGCTGTTTTGTTTTGCTTCATGCTGGGATCGTGTGCATGCGAGCAGCAGCACCACCATTAAGCCGTGTCCCTAGCTGCCTCGTGACGCTTGCATTGCAGGTTAGAAACTGCTACCTTAGCCAGGCACGGTGGTGCACGCCTGTAGTCCAAGCACTCAGGAGGCTGAGGCAAGAGGATCACTGTGAGTTTGAGGCCAAAAGCCTGGGAGCCATACCTGAGCTCAAGCTCAGCCTGCACTACTTAGCAAGACCCTATCTCAGAAAGCAGAAAAGAAAAAAGTGCTGTCTTTTCCATGAAACTTCACAATTTAAATATTATTCTAAAGCCCACATTTCTTACTGTTGACCTCTTACATGAGCATAGTAGAGCTCAGCATCCGCTTAGTGCTGCTGACTGAGCTGCAGGTGGCGTGGCTTTCATCAGCCGCTCCTGCTGGCCTCCCTCCCAAGCCCGCGGCTCCCTCGCCTCCCACCATGTGGCAGCTCCTCAGTCTCCTTGTCCATAGAACTTTGCAGCCTTTGGCAGGGATGTTTACTTACTTGGTAGAATGTTCCTCAATGTGGCTTTGTCTGCTTTATTAGATCGAAGTTAGAAGACCATAGGAGCAGCTGGCTGTGCCTGCGCACACCTGTGATCCCAGCACTTGGGGGGCTGTGGCTGCAGGGTCCAGGAATTGAGGGCAGCCTGGGCACCCAGTGAGTTCAAGGCCAGCCAGCACTACACAGTGAGACCCTGTCTGTCTCCAAGAAGCACTGCACAGAGGCGATGTGCATTTGTTCAGCGTGTCGCATCAACATACATGACGCTGATGTGCGTGACTGCTGAGGGTGCTGGCTTTCAGGTGGCGCGTAAGGTGGTGCCTGCTGGTGTTTGCCTGGAGGTGCTGCTTTCCCTTTTGTAATTAATAAATACCTTTGGGGAGATACTCTTGAGAGTATGTAAACAGTATTTTTCATCAAAGTAACTCATTTTAGCATTGACGTCTTTAGCAAATGTTACCCTTATTTTCCACATTATTGAAATTCCTCCTGAGATACAAAGTTACCATTTCTCTCACATTTACAGATTTATTCTTGGCAACCCCCTGCCCCCGCCTCCCAGGGCACTGGAATCCTAGGTGTGTGCTACCCTTAATTTGGGTAAAACACAAGTCTAAACAAACAAGCATCTTTTCTGCAGTGTTTTTTTTTGGAAGGCTGAGGCAAGAGGATCTTTGCAAGTTCAGGGCCGCACAGTGAGCTCAAGGCCAGCCTGAACTGCATAGTGAGACCCTATCTCAAAAAGACCAGAAAAATTTTAAAAATTTTGGGACAGGGTCTGACTGTTTAGCCCACCATGGCCTTGAACTCATGGCCATCCTCCTGCCTCAGCCTCCCAAGTGCTGGGATTATAGGTGTGCACCTCCACACCCAGCAATTCAATGTTTATGTTCACTTGACTTAGGAATATTTATTTACTGGGCCATGGTCCAATACTATCAATTAGTCTTCTGCCTAAGTTGTTCTAGCTTTGGAGATTAGGTGGTATTTTGCTTAGGTGTCTGTGTCCATCTGTAATGCCCCATTCTTCCCATTCAAAAGTGCATATATTTTATACACATACACCATTCATTAAAAAAAATCCATTATTTGAAATAGAAAGCTTCTTCTAGTTTTTATCCACACTTTTTTAAGTACAAAAATATTTAGAACATTACAGAAATGACAACTCTGAATCAGTATCATTAAAGGTAGCAAGTTTATAAAAAGAGCTACAAAGAAAGCATGTCTTTCTAAAATTAGAAATAAGTTCTTGCTAAAAACACATGGCTGTATGGACCGGGGAGATGGCTCAGTGGAATATGTGCTTCCCTGGCAAGCGCAAGGACCTGAGTTCAATCCCCAGTTCTGAAAAAAAAAAAAAAAAACACATAGCTGTAATTAAAAGTCATTATAAATACTCTGTTTTGTTCAGGCTTGATTGCAGGAAGACTGGATTTTTAAGAGTTATTGACTTCTCCGTACTGGAAGTAAAAACCTATAAACTATTTTTTACTATCAGAACTGATGACATTGTTTTAGTGTTATTTACACAAATACATTAAAAGCTCTTTGATATTCTAAGTAACACAGTACTTTCAATCTAATAGGTTTGTCCTCTAGGAAAGTGCTGTTGAATACGAGTGGCCTGTACTACAACATAGAGCTACTGAACTTTGGACAGGTAATTATTCTAACTGCGCACAGAGGATTTGATTTTATGTCATTGTTTAGTCAAACAAATAAGCTTGTTTTGTTTTGTTTTGTTTTTATGGTCAAACTCTATTAGATATACCAAGCTTTTAAACTCAACGTGGTAAGCAAGTGCTCAGGAACCAAAGGTAAATGTGTTTTCTGAAAAATATAAAGCATGTTTACATTTCAGTATAAATACTTTCATCTTAAAAATATTGTGTATCTTCACATCTTAATATAGTAGTACTTCAGATTTAGCTGGTTTTTACTAGTTTCTTAGTACTACCCATGTACTTTAATAGCTTTTGTAAGTCTAATTGAACATGAGTAGAAGGTCTCCATGATTCCGTATCATCCGCTGCAGCTCCGTCTGAGTTGTATGCAGTGGGCAGGGGTGCAGTTAGGTACTCTGGTGGATTGCACAGCTGTTAGGTGACTTGCGGTATAATGCATCTTGTCCTTTGTTTTTGCAGAGGAAATAACAAGTATCTATAAGTTTCATATCCCCTGGTCTTACGAAGATTCGCTAACTATTGCACAGTAAGTATATGAAAAACTTATTTTAAACTTCAGTGTTGTTTAGTAAAATAGATTCCCTGCCTAGGCTATGTGCTGGTCAGTGTTTTATCACTGTGAGCAATCCCCAGGAAAATCAGCGTGGGAGAGGGAGGGTGTGCTTTGGCTCATGGCTACAGAGGACTCAGTCTGGTCTCCTGACTCCGAGGCAGGGTCTAGTGGAATAGCCTGCCAGAGGAGAGCTATTTACCTTTCCGCTGCCAGGAGGCAGAGGGAGAGGGAGAGAGCCTGAGAGAAGGGCGCGGGATCCGCTAGCTGCTCCAAGCTCGTCACCTGTCCCCAGGTTCTACCTGCTGTTTGCACCCGCCCAAGTCACACCATAAAATGATACTCAGGGTGCAGTCACTTCCAAAGCCAATCAGGCAGTGTGGCTTCAGCTCAGGGAGCCTTTGCAGAATGTGCCGCGCTCAGCCTCCTCATGCCTTATGTGTGTGAGGGGTGTGTCTAGGTACAGGGCCTCTTAGGAAAATGTCAGTGCCCTTTACACAGCATTGTGTCCCTAAGTGAAGATGACATGTAGTACTCTTAACTGCATTTTACAGAACATAAACCTTACCTGCATGACACATGAACGCCTTTCCGTTCTAGCCCAGTTCCCAGGTCTTAGAGCAGGAATGTTCAGGCCCTTTCGATGTGGCCGGAAGTATCACTGTAGTAAGGGGTCTGCTATGTAGCTTCCTCTGCAGCCATGCATTGGGTGGTGCTGAGTGTCGCCCTCACTAGCTTGTTTACCCGCATTTTATATTCGAGAATTGATACTTAGGTTGTCTCTTCAGGGTTCCATCGTCTACAGAAATTTCTCTGAAACTTCACGTTGCTCAGCCAGAAAACGACAGCCATGTGGCATTATTGAAAATGTACACATCATCAGACTGTCAGTATGAGGTAAGTTGTATGTTTGCATAATCTTCAAGCAAGGTTTATGGAATAAAGTAGAAGCATTTTTTATATTAGCTGCAAATACATAGTCAAAAGCCCATAAATGTCAAAAATAAATGTTTAAAATCTTTTAAATATTCACCACTGTTCTTGTTTGCACTGTGTCAGAATTTCCTTAGCTGGGTCATTTAAAATTGTATACATCTTAATAAGTAATACAAAATGGAACAGATTGAAACTGCACATTAGCTGCCTAAATTTGGAAGCCAAAGGTCCAGTGTCTTTTATAAATGAAGAATTTCACAAAATCAGCGGACTGGCATTACTGACAGTAACTGGCCTGGCACGGATGGTTTAGCTCTCCACTGAGTAAGCAGAAGGATCGTGTTTCTTTCCTCTCAGCACTGAAGTTGGTGATCGTTGACTGCGCAAGTCGGCGCCCGCTGTATTGTTTATGATCAAAGTAGATCTCTTTCTGCTAAGGCAAGGGACACACAGTTGAGGGTCCCTCAATCTGATATATTCAGTAAATTGAATATTTTATTCACTATGGATTCATGAACTAGAACAGGCCAAGGTTGTGAGGACTCCAGATGTAGGTGGTTAAAGTGTACGTTTCAGTGGGAGTGACATCTTAGACTTCTGGTTTATGGGAAATATTTCTGCTTAACTGCTTGAAATCAAACTAACATTTGGATTCTTTATTGGAACTGACTTTCTGAGGGTAAGCTGGATTGGTGTCGTCGAGTTAAAAGATTCTGCTGTTCAAATAAGTTTTGTTGGACCCACATTATGAATTAATTTGCATTTCATGGTATCTACGAATGTTTTGATATTTTTAAGTTTCCAGCAATAAAGAGTCTTGCAGAATTATACTGGATTTAATTTGTACCTTCATATTTCTAATATTAAAACAGTAATAAGAACACACAATTGTCAATTTGGATCCAAATATTTTATGTTCTCAAAATGTCCTTTTTTTTTTTAAGCCAACATTGCATATTTTCAAGACATCCGTATTTGGATAAAGCACGGGCATCTTACAACTTCCTTAAGAAAGATTTCTCTCCTTGAGCAGCTTGATATTAATAACAAATTGTGTGTGTGTGTGTGTGTGTGTGTGTGTGTGTGTGTGTTAGAGATAATTAAGGATGAGTTTCTTTTTGAAATACTATCCTGGCCTTAATTCTGATAACCACCAAGGTCTGTTAATAACTTACCGCACTCAAAAAATAATCAGGTTGGTAAAGAGTTACCACACATACCAAAACATTCCTGTAATTGTTGAAGATTTAGAATACTGGAAAATATACTAAATGGTAAAACTGTATTTTACACAATTTAAGTGGTAGTTGAGACAGTTCTTTAAGCCTCTTATGCCATAGGTCTATCATTATAAAAATTAAACTTGGAGATATATAGAATTTGCAGTGTAGTGAGCGTGAGCCAGCGTGTGCGGAAAGTAACCTTTTCTCTTTGATACTTGCTTCACACCAGGTGACAGTGAAGACCTCCTTCTCCCAGATTCTGGGGCAGGTAAGGGCCTGCTGTGCCGCTGCAGCCAGCCCTCAAGGGCAGGGCCTGTGCTCCTTCTGCGCCCGCGCCCAGCCCGCGGCTACTACTGCTTGCTTCTTCCTCCTTTTTCTCACTCTCCTTCCACTTTAATGAAATCTGAAAACCACCCATGGCCCACAAGTTGGTGACCTCGCGTTTCCATGTTTGACACAGCCCAGGAACAAGAGCTGGTATCTCGTTTCTCAGCTTAACATTTGCCTGAGCGAGTGTCATGCGAGACCTTCATGGTACCTACCACGCCGACGCTCATAGCACAGCAAATCTGTAGGCAGGCTGCAGGCTTTTTATACTGTTCGTCTTGGTTTGTAAAAGCTAAAAATAACTTTTATTAGAAATTGTTGAGATTCTGCCAGTGATACTACAAAAAATTTATCAAATAGACTACAAATATTATTCAGATCATAACTTACAGAATTGTATAATCTGGACTTACATAATGACTAGACAGAAAAATAATATAATTTTAAAATTCAGTAAATTATTTATACCAGCTTTCATTTGACTGGGTATAGTCTGCAGTCCAGGCATAGAATTGTTTTCCTTGTAATGCAAGTCAGGCTCACAAACAAAAAAACATTTTCTGTGCATTAATCTCATTTGATCTTTGTAGCCACCTGATAAGAACTAGATTCTGATTATTTGCAGACATGGCAAAATTCTAAGTTAAGTATAACAATTTTGAAAGGAAAATTATGAAAAGAAGATTAAATGTTAGTATGCCTAAGTTAGAAAACAGTATCAAGAGCATGTTCCAGTGTAAAATGTTGAAGACCAATTATTAAGAAAATTTGTCTCTTAGAGAGGGGAAGAATTCATGCTGTTGTATTTTTAGCACTTGGAAAAGGCATATTCTGGCATACAGGTTAGCGACAAGGAAGGCCAAGGTGGCTGAGATGCTGTAGCCGAGGGAATTGTACAGCAGAGGAAGGTGGACTAATACTGATTTGGAGGGGTGTGTTTTGTATTGGTTTTTTTCACTATGTAGTTACCACTGACCTTAAACTCACCATGTAGGGCCAGGGAGATGGCTCTGTGGAATAAGCGCTTCCCTGGTAAGTGCAAGGGAAGTTCAATCCCCGGTTCTGCCAAAAAAAAAAAA